TTTAATACTGATGTGGGTAGATTAAAAGAATAGTCTTTAAATAAAAGTTGAGACATATCTAGAAGAATGAAACTAGTTTTCAGTTTCAGACATATTGAGACCAGTAACTTGATTTAAGGCATAACCTTCAGTAGCAGTTTGGGGAAAAACAGTATCTGGCGAAATTTAACCAGGAAATAATTCTTTATAACACTTACCTTCTTCCTACCCACTCCCTCTCTCCCTCCAACCAGTAGTGTGCTTTCTATCACCACAGTTAGTATCACTATAGATTAGTTTGCATTTTCTGGAGTTTAATATAAGTGGAAACATACAGTATATATTTTGTGTGTATCTGGCTTCTTTCACTCAACCTATTTATACTCAAATCCATCAAGGTGTGATATATAACAATAACTCATTCCTTTTTATTGGATTATATTCCAGTGCGTATATATCTATGTACATATGTACATGGACGCACAATTTGATCATCCATTCACCTGTTGATGCACATCTGGGTTGTTTCCAGTTTTAGGCTAGTACAAATAAAGCTGGCAATACAGATTTTTAAGTTAAAAGTTTGTATTTAGTAAGTCGAATTAAATAAGCACAATTTTGTTTCAGTACTGACAACAAAGGCCACAATTTTATTTTATTTTATTTTTTTTTTAAATTTTCATTTATTTATGATAGTCACAGAGAGAGAGAGAGAGAGAGAGAGGCAGAGACACAGGCAGAGGGAGAAGCAGGCTCCATGCACCGGGAGCCCGACGTGGGATTCGATCCCGGGTCTCCAGGATCGCGCCCTGGGCCAAAGGCAGGCGCCAAACCGCTGCGCCACCCAGGGATCCCTAGGCCACAATTTTACATATTAAACTTTATTTCTTCAAGATTTTGACAAATTGAAAAAAAAAGATTTTGACAAATTGGAGAATTGATGCAGATAAGTGTTATATTTGCCTTACTGAAGGACTAACTAGTTTGCCAACAAATGGAAAATCATCTGGAAATTATGTTATTATGACCCTTGAAATATAATTTGGAATCTATAATAAAAGTATATATATTTTTAAAATTCTTTTTCAAGTCATAAATGTGGGGTAATTATCTAAAAATATACATTTTGCATCCCTGCTAATCAATATTTCTGGGACGCATATTCTATATTGCCTGGACTAAAATTTAACTTTTCAAAAGCTGGATAGTATTTCTTTACAGAAAATGATAACATTTAAAAGTAATAGTTAGGGGCACCTGGGTGGCTTAGTCAGTTAAGCAGCTTTTGATTTTGGGTCAGGTCATGATCTTAGGGTCATGAGCTGGATCCCACGACCTTGTGTTGGGCTCCACACTCAGTGGTGAGTCAGCTTGAGATTCTTTCTTCCTCTGCTCCTCCCCCGCCCCCATCAAATAAACCTTTTTTAAAAATGAAAATATTAATTAAAGAGAAACACTCAATTAAAAAACGGGCAAAGGATTTGAATAGACTTTGCATGTCTCCAAGGAAGATACACAAATCTCCAAGAAGCATATGAAAAGATGCTCATTATCACTACTCATTAGGGAAATAAAAATAACAATGAAGTACCATTTCATACTTCTAAGGATAACTATCATTTAAAAAAATGAAAACAAGTGTTTAGCTAGCATATGGGGAAATTGGGATCTTGTGCATTGCTGATGAGAATGTAAAATGGTGAGCTGCTATGGAAACAGTGTGGTTATTCTTCAAAAAATTAGAGTAATTGCCATATGATCCAGCAATTCCATTTTAAAACCACCACTTTATTTGTATGTATATATGCATTTTTATGTATGTACATACATATAGATACGTGTCTGTATGTTTTTCTCAGGTAACTGTAAGGACTACAAATTTTCCAAGGAAAAGTTAAGTGAATCCAAGTTTATATATCACTGAATTGAAATAGCTCCCTGCCCCCAAAAAACTTAGAAGTTTCTGGGGGTTTGTCTTCCTTACTTAATTTCAGCAGCTTTATCCTTTATTTAAAATGAGAGGAAAAAGAGCAGCACTGAGAAATATTTTATGCTCTTTGAAGTTGTGCAAGTTAGAATCTTTCCCTTCAATTTGTGTATAAACCCCAGGCCGTACTCTGCTTTTCAAACATCAGTTATAAACAAAGTTATTTTCAGATTCATTGCTATTTTGAAGTACTTTTTAAAAAATGCTTGATGTAAAAAATTTTTTTTAAAATAAATAATAAAAAAATAAAATAAAAATGCTTGATGTAAAATATCTCAACAAGAGAAAAAGAACCTGCTGAATCGTTCTTTGAAAAATCTTAAAGACTGGGACACCTGGGTGGCTCAGTGGTTGGACGTCTGCCTTGGGCCCAGGGCATGATCCTGGAGTCCCAGGATCGAGTCCCACATCGGGCTCCCTGCATGGAGCCTGCTTCTCTCTCTGCCTCTGTCTCTGCCTCTCTCTGTGTGTGTCTCTCTTGAATGAATAAATCAAATCTTTAAAAAAAAAATCTTAAAGACTTAAGTTCACCAGGATGCTAATAAAGTCTGTTTTTATAACTCCACTGTGTTTGTAGTTACAGCAAAATTAGCATCTCCGAACCATATTATTTGTGGGTGTTACCTGCTTTATATTCTCTACTTACCAATACCTTTGGAATTGTGATAATAAGACTGTCCAGGTGATCTGTTGAGAAAAAAAAAAAGGACTTAAATAATATGCAATAATGGACAGCATTATAAGAATTAACGAGAGTATTTTAAATGAAAAAAGACAGTATTGCCTATGCTTTTTACTTTTCATGTTTCCATCAGATGGAGTATTTTGCAAATTTTCTCCTGTAATCCTGGTTATAGCCTAATGGCTCCAGGCTTTTTCAAAGTGAGTTATCTGAGGTTTTTACCATATGAGAAGGGATTTACCTTAAGCCAGGTTTGGTTTTACTTTTATAGCCTCTTAATCTAATTCCTACATTGAGCTCAATAAAGTAGTTTGCGCTTCTGTGTTATCTGTGGTATTTTCTTGCTCACTTTATTTTTAATAAAGTAACTTAGATAGGGAAAAGACTATCTTGTTCTTTACTGTATGTAACTAAGGTGTACTGGAACTGATAAATTGGTCTGGAATGTTTTCATTTTTGACAAGTTCTTTTTTTTCTTTTCTCAAATTAAGACAAAACACCCTTGCTTCCTGCTTCCTTAAATTTATTCAATGTCCAAGTGTCCATCGATACTAGGATCCAGCACTTTGTCAAGCACTGTAATGAACAGCAAAGACAAGAGTCTTTTAAGTCTTTGATGGGTGCCTGGGTGGCTCAGTTGATTAGTGGGTGATCCTTGATTTGGGCTCAGGTCCTGATCTCGGTGGTCCTGCTTGGGGCTCCACACTCAGACTTGGGGAGTCTGCTTGAGGATTCTCCCTCTCCCTTTGCCCCTCCCCTCTGCACGCACCCACTCTCTCTAAAACAAATAAATCATTTTTAAGAAGTCTTCACTATATACATATGTTTCATTCCCTATATATATTTCATATACATGATGTACATATGTATACATTTATGTATATACACATTCCATATGTATGAGTGTGTGTGTATATATATATATAAATACATAAAGGGTCATGGGTGCAGCAGGAGCCATGACTGTGTGCTTTTGGAAAGGTACACCCTGAGGCTCTTTTAGGTAATAACTGACGGAAGGGATGAGAAGGTACTGAAGACTAATTGTCTTCAGCATCCAGGAACTATACTAAAAGAGCCTTCTCAAAATAAAATGGATTTATGAAGAAAAACTTCAGTGGGAAGAAAACATCAAGATCAACGTACCCCTAATATTCATAATTACCTGTCTCATCGGCATTATGAATCCCCCGGACATAAAAGTGGCTAACGTGACACACACAGAACTGGTTTATTGGCTTGGAAAGCCTCGTTCGAACCTGTCTCTGCCGTGCCCCCCAACCCCCTCTTTCTGTAGAGATCCTGTGGCCAGACGGCATTTTCCAGCAGGTTTCGCAGCGCCCCCTCGGGGCAGAAAAACGCACGCAGGCAACTGTCGCAGTCCCGGCGTTTAGTCATTGCACCAACACTCAGCCTTACCTCACAGGCCCTTCCCTTAGACAGCGAGGCGGCTTCCCTGTGTGCCGCCACCCCGGCCACAACAGAGCTTCCCCCTTCCTCTCGGTTCAGTGCACCGGGGGATCAGGCCGCGGGAGCAGCCGGCTCCCACCCCCTCCTCCGCCGGGGACCACGACCTGGGCCGGTCGGCGTCCTCCCTAACCCCTCAGGGCCCCTCAGCCTCACCCGCCGCCGCCACCCTCGGTCCCGGCCACTGCGGTTGGGTCCGCGGAAGAGCTGCATCCCGCCCAGTCGGACACCGGACCCCGGCCGGGCATGTCCGCCCCGGCGCCCGGACCTCGAGCGGTGCGCGGAAGCAGCCTGCCCCTCTCCCCTCCCCCGTCAGCACGCGTGCGTCAGGCCGGGCGGTGTTGGGGGCGCACAGGCGGACGCCGTATTCTAGCCCCCGCCGAGGCGCTCCGGGCACTGCCCGAACGGCTTCGGGAGAGCGGGGAGGGCAGAGACCAGACGCTGGAACTAGAGAGGGGAGGGGCAGGAACCCTCTAGAGGATTGCGCGCTTGCACGTTAGGTGGAAGGGATGAGTCCTCTCCCACGGGAGGGAAACAGGCACGCCCCCTAAAACAGGAGGCGCCTTCCACCTCAGGATTGCCGGCCCTCTGACAGATTTGCAAATGTCGAGTGTCGCCAGGTCGGTGAAACATTAGTACGCGAACCAAGGACGGAAGTCCGCGGCGCACGGATGCGGGGAGAGGGCCGTTAGCCGTTATCACCAAGGCAACCAAGCTCCTCTAGCGTCCCAACCGCGGGTTTCCGCCAACTACCTCTGCGCACACTCTAACCGCTTCCCCGTCCGCCCCGCCCACGCCGAAGTTTCCCGAGAACGGGTTTCACACGAGATTTGATCTGCGGGACGCTCCGTAGCCGGGGATGTAACCGAGCGCAGGGCGCAAAAGGACTTTGGGTTGCTATTGGTTGTCACGTGGTGCTGCGGGAACTCAGTGAGCGCCGCGCGAGGGCTGAAGGGAGCGGGCCGGTCGGGCTCCGTGAGGCGTGGCGGGCCTTGCCCGGCCCCGGGAGCGCCGGCATGCCTCGGTACGCGCAGCTGGTCATGGGCCCGGCAGGAAGCGGGAAGGTGAGGCTTTGGCGTTAGGACACGAGAAAAGTCGGAGCTCGTGGGAGGCAGGGGGGCTGTGGTCCTGACCGAGGGACCGGCGGGTGCGTGCACGGGGACCCTTGGGCAGAGCGCTGCTGCAGTCTGGGCTTCGTTGCTCTTTGTTGCGATTTTGAAAGTGGGGGGGAAATAACAGCGGTTGCTAATGCTGAGAGTGTACTTAGGCCCCAGATACTGCGTTTAAGCTCCTGACTTGGGATCCCTGGGTGGCGCAGCGGTTTGGCGCCTGCCTTTGGCCCAGGGCGCGATCCTGGAGACCGGGGATCGAATCCCACATCGGGCTCCCGGTGCATGGAGCCTGCTTCTCCCTCTGCCTGTGTCTCTGCCTCTCTCTCTCTCTGTATGACTATCATAAATAAATAAATAAATAAATAAACAAACTCCTAACTTATTTCCAGAACAACGTTGTAGGATAGGTCTTGTTCTCATTTTCACAGATGGGAATTTTACAGGAAATGAGACACGGAACGGTTAGGTTCTTTTCCCGAGATCACACGGCTGGAATTTGAATCCAGTTGTGTGTAATCCCAGAATCCGCTCCTGTCTCGCTCATAGAAAGTTCAAGTGAGGTCTCATTAAATCAGTTTCTCAGAGCTTGAAACATGGACTTCTGGTATTTGAGGTGATTTTAGGAGGTACATGGCCTAACATTAATGAACACTGGATCATATATTGATTGAGCCCCATGTTGGGTGTAGAGAAAACCAGGGGTAAGGCTCCTGGCTGGTTCATTTGGTGGGATATGTGAGTCTTGATTGAGGTCAGTAAATTCTAGAGATCATATGTTGAGAAAATTACTCCCTTTTCAATTCTTTCAGTTTGCATTGAAGTGAAATTGTCAGTTTGACACCTGTGTATCTTTAATACTTTCTTTTTTTATGTTTGAGCCCCATGTTGGGTGCAGAGATTCCTTAAAAGTAAAATCTCTAGAAAAAAGAAGAGAAAAGTAGAGACGCGCTTTCACTAAAGTTACTCTTGAGTCTCAGCCAGGTCTGGATCTACAGCCCAGATGTCCTGACTGCCAGCCTAGTACCTGGCAGTACTGAACCAGTAACTGTTTTCAGTCGGCTTTTTGATCAATGAAGGCATAATTTTGGCCTCAGTGGACACCGACCAAGGGATATAGGGTATCCATTTTGGGGGTGCAGGGGTAGCACTACACTGCCTATTGCTTTGACCCCGTGATGCCTTGTGACATTACAGAGCACCTACTGTGCCACTATGGTCCAACACTGTGAAGCCCTCAATCGGTCTGTCCAAGTTGTGAACCTAGATCCTGCAGCAGAACACTTCAACTACTCGGTGATGGCTGGTGAGTCCTGAACAGAGCCTTCCCCCTCCTTCAGGAAAAATGAGGGGGTGGAGAGGCCATGAGTGCTGGCTGCTTGTTACAGAAGGTGAAAACTTTATTATTATAGTCTGCTCCCCTGCTTCATGATGAGATGTGTGACATTATCCTTTCTTCGTCTTAGTTTAAGAATTGAGTAGACTCTTCCCCATACCTCTTTTCTGTCCTTTTTTCCCCCCTTTTGTAAAAGACTTTATTTATTCATTCATGAGAGGCAGAGAGAAAGGTCCTCCATCCCAGGACCCTGGGATCACCCCCTGAGCCTAAGGCAGACGCTCAACCACTGAGCCACCCAGGCATCCCCTCTTCTTTCCTTCCATGCTTAGCCTGCTGTGGTGAATCGGGTTTACTGCAGGTCATAGTATCAGCGAGCAGCTTAACTGTTTTTTCTGTTTTGTTTTGTTTTTTTAATTCTTTTAGAGGTGCCTCCTACCCTCTCTCTCGGGGGAAAAAAAAGAATTTTTTAAAATTTATGTTTCTTTAGAGAGAGAGAGAGAATCTTTTTTTTTTTTTTTAAGATTTTATTTATTTATTCATGAGAATACACAGAGAGGAGAGAGAGAGAGAGAGAGAGAGGCAGAGACACAGGCAGAGGGAGAAGCAGGCTCCACGCAGGGAGCCTGATGCGGGACTCGATCCCAGGTCTCCAGGATCACACCCCGAGCTGTAGGCGACGCTAAACCGCTGAGCCACCAGGGCTGCCTGAGAGAAAGAATTTTAAGCAGGCTCCATGCCCCTCCATACCCAGTGTGGAGCCCAACATGGGGCTTGGTCTCAGAATGGTGAGGTCATACATAACCTGAGCCAAAATCAAGAGTTGGAGACTTAACTGACTGAGCCACACAGCTGCCCCTAAAGTAAAATTCTTTCAATTTATTCATTCAGATGTCTTTTGAACACTTACTTTATGTCAGATGCCAAGGTTCTAGCAGAGAACAAGGCAGACATTATCCTTTCATTCATGGACCTTTTAGTGGGGAGATAAGCAAAATGAAAAACATTAAAGATTGTGATAATGACTCCAAGTAGTCAATGAGAATGAATAACCTGGAGGTTGCTTTAGAAAGGATAGTCTCAGGAGGGAAGATTTGGGCCCAGACCCGAAGATAGTAATGGGCTTACCAAGCTGGGGAGTAGCCTTCCAAGATGAGGGAAATCAGGTCAATACATAGCCTAGAGATAGGAAGGGGTTTGGTATGTTCCAGAAAAAGCAAAAATATCAATGAGCTAGAGCATAATGAGGGAAGGAAAGTAGTGGGTAGGTGCTAGAAGGACATGAGAAGTTTTGAGTTCTATTCTGTTTTCTTAGTCCATTTGAGCTGCCTTAACAAAATACCACAGACAGGGCAACTTATAAACAACAGAAATATATTTTTTCATGGTTCTGGAGGTTGGAAATCCCAAGATCAGGGTGCCAGCATAGTCAGGTCTGGCGAAGGTCCTCTTTTGGTGGCAGACTGCCAACTCCCCACTATGTCGTCACATGATGGAAGGGAGCAAGTGATCTCTCTATTTTATTTTATTTTATTTTATTTTATTTATTTTATTTTATTTATTTTATTATTTTATTATTTTATTTTATTATTTATTTTTTATTTTACTTTTAGGATTTTACTTATTTGCTCATGAGAAACAGAGAGAGGCAGAGACATGGCCAGAGGGAGAAGCAGGCTCCCAGAGGGGAGTCCGATGCGGGATTCAATCCCAGGACCTTGGGATCATGCCCTGAGCCAAAAGCAGACGCTCAACCACTGAGCCACCCACGTGCTCCTGGGGCCTCTTATTAGAGCAATAATCTCATTCATGAGGAACCACCCTCGTGACCTAATTGGCTCCCAAAGGCACCACCTCCTAATATTATCACCTTGAGCATTAGCTTTTCAACATAGGAATTTTAAGGGGACACCAGTATTCAACGTGTAGCATCTGTCAACAGTGGAATGTCATTAGGATTTAAAGCAGAGGAGAGGGTTGACATCTGATATACATTTTTAAAGATAACTGGCTCTCAGGTGAAAAATGGACTCTAGGGAGTCAAGAGTAGAAGCAGGGACGAGCAGGATGGCTATTGCAGATGTCTAAGTGGCTTGGACTAATGTAGTCATGGTAGAGATGTAAAGAAGCAGATTCAGTATATACTTTGCAAGTAGAATTATCATTTTCTGGGAGAGTGAACCAGAACCATTTCGTAGGAAAGGGAGAAATCATCAAGGGTGACTCTTAGATACCTGACATGAACTGCTTGAGTTACTGAAGAGAGTATATGATACCATCTATTGGAAAGGAAGAAAAGTCGTCTATTTAGGTTTGGGGCAATTCTCTTTGCACTTAGTAAGCTTGAGACATCTGATAGATATCTAAGAGGTGATGTCAAGGAACCAATTGGATATAATAGAGACTCAGGGATAAAGTCTGGTTTGAAGGTATAAATTTTCAAGTCAAAAAATAAAAATAAATTTTCAAGTCAGAAACATATAGACAGAACATAAAGTTCCAGGACTGGATGAGATCCTTTGGGGAAGAAGGAAGGATGGTTAGAGAAAAGAACCCAAGACCAAGCCAGCTTCAAAGTTGTCTACTCTTCAGAGGTCTAGAGTAGGAGGTGGAGTCAGTAAGGTGGGAGAAAGCCAGGAGGAGAGACTGTTTCAGGAAAAATACTTGTGCTTGGTTATTTCAGCTATGGCTGTGAAGTTATGAAAGATGAGGATAGAGCAGTGGCCATTAGGTGTGGAGACATGGAGATGGAGATGACTTGCCCCACAGTTTCGGTGGAGTGTTTTGAAGAGTGGCCTGAAGGTGATGCAGTGTCGGTGCAAGAGATGAAGTTTCATTGTGAAAGGAGCAGAGAAGAGGGGTGAGAATTGGAGCGGATAGGAGGGTCAAGGGAGGTTGCTTTTTTTTTTTTTTTTAAATAAAAATTTTTAAAAAGATCTTATTTATTCATGAGAGACCCAGAAAGACAGGCAGAGACATAGGCAGAGGGAGAAACAGACTCCCTATGAGGAACCTGATACAGGACTCCATCCCAGGACTCCAGGATCACAACCTGAGTGGAAGGCAGATGCTCAACCACTGAACCACCCAGGCGTCCCAGGAGGTTGCGTTTTAACATTGGAGGTGCTAACTGGAACAGACTTGATTGCTGAACAGAACAATCCAGTAGAAACAGAAACTGAAAATGCCAACCAGTGGGAATAACTTCAAGAATGGGAAAGGGGAAGAGGATCCCAAACAACTGGAAGATTATGCCTTCACTAGGAGTGGGATGCTTTTTTTTTTTTTCTTAAAGATTTTATTTTTGAGTAATCTCTACACCCAGCGTGGGGCTTGAACTCACAACCCCAAGATCAAGAGTTGCACACTCCACTGACTGAGCCACCAGGTGCCCCAGGAGTGGGATGCTCCTTCTGTTGTAACCAAAAGGAAGGCAGAGTGGAAGACACCATGTAATACTGGTGGTGGGAATATGGGAAATTCTTTATTGTCGGCTTCTGATTTCTGTTAATGACACGTGTGTCATCAGGACAGGAGAGTGGCAAGAAGTGGGTGTGAGGTACAAAACAGTTATCTTCATAAGGAAAAGGGATTTAGGGCTCCTGGGTGGCTCAGTCAGCTAAGCGTCTTGACTTTTGATTTTGAGTCAGGCCAAGATCTCAGGGTTGTGCCACCCAGCACTGTGTTAGGCTCTGCAGTGAGTGTAGAGCCTGCTTAAAATTCTCCGTCTCCTTCTGCCCCTCAAAAAAAAAAAAGGCTCTGCATTTCTTTGGGATCATTTGCACCCAACAGAAAGCACTCAAGCCAGCTTATGTAAAGGGGGGATTTTTTTTTTTTTTTTTTTTTTAAGAAGGAATCTGGGATCTCTCACAAAACCCAAGAGCAAGGCTTTATGAGAGACTAGAACCCAGAACAAAAACTAACAAACTGAAGTGGCTTTCTCGGTCTCTGCCTTTTTTCTCTCTTACCAGCTTTCTCAGCTTCTGGGAGCCCAGTAAGGTACCACCAACTTCAGGTTCATATCACTTTCAGGTCCAGGTGTCTTAATGACTGACTTACGTCCTTGAGTTATCCTTTTAGAAGACCCCGTTTTGTTGTCCCAACTTGAGTCAGATGTTTTTCACTCAGGGAGTAGAAGTGCATAGGAAGTACATATCCACATAAATGTGGCTATGAATGAGGCAGTGCTCTGTGAACAGAGATGGTAGGTTTCTGCACAAACGTAAAAAGCCTATGGTAGAAAGTTATAAATACAGATTTCCAAAATTAATAATAAAGGAAAACTATGCAAATACCAGAATTTTTAAGCCCCTGCTGTAGGTGATATAGCTACATTACCTCATAGAGCCTTTATCCTTCTACCCCAGGATATATGATTTGTCTCCCATTTTACAAATAGGAAAATGAGGTATGGAAAGGTTAAATAGCTTCCCTGAGGTCACCATGCTAAGAAACATCAATTGATTTTCTTGGTTTGGTTTTAATTATTTTGGAATACATAGTGTATATTGACATGGTTTAAAATGCAAAAGGTACAGAAAAGCGTACAGTAAAATATCTCCCTCTCAGGTCTGTGTCCCGGTAATTGGCTCCCCTCCCTGGAGACAGCCAGTTTTGCCAGTTTCTAAGGTGTCTTTCCATAGAGAGTTTATGGATATAAAATCAGATATATGTATTATTGTGTATATGTAGTGAATCTTTGTCTTATTGTTGCTGTTATTCACACAAATGATGGCATTTTTTACACAGAATTCTGCACCTTGCATTTTCCATTTAAAAGTATACCTAGGATGTGGTGCCAGGGTGGTTCAGTCAGTTAAATGTCCAACTCTTGGTTTCAGCTCAGGTCATGATCTCAGGGTTGTGAGATTGAGCCCTGGGTTGGGCTCCATACTCAGCACAGAGTCTGCTTGAAAGTCTCTGCCTCTCTCTGCCCCTCCCCCCTGTTCATGTGCACGCACACCCACCCTCTCTCAAATTAATGAATTAAAGTATACTTGAGAGATTATATCACACCCATATTTAAAGAGCTTCTTGGGGATCCCTGGGTGGCTCAGCGGTTCAGCACCTGCCTTTGGCATGTACAGAAATAGTTTCACACATGTGTTTTATTTTTATTTTATTTATTTTATTTATTCATGAGAGAGAAAGGCAGAGACATAGGCAGAGAGAGAAGCAAGCTTCTCACAGGGAGCCTGATATGGGACTCAGTCCCCGGACTGGGATCATATCCTGACCCAAAGGCAGACACTGAACCGCTGAGCCACCCAGGCATCCCACACGTGTGTTTTTATATAATTGTTAACTATTGGGGATCCCTGGGTGGCTCAGCAGTTTGGCGCCTGCCTTCAGCCCAATGAGTGATCCTGGGGTCTCAGGATCGAGTCCCACGTCGTGCTCCCTGCATGGAGCCTGCTTCTCCCTCTGCCTATGTCTGCCTCTCTCTCTCTCTCTCTGTCTCTCATGAATTAATAAATAAAATCTTAAAAAAATAAATTGTTAACTATCACTAATGAGGACAACAGTTTTTGAATAGCTGTTCTTAGATCCTGGGCCCCATCTTTTGCAGATATTCGGGAACTGATTGAGGTGGATGATGTCATGGAGGATGACTCTCTCCGCTTTGGTCCCAATGGAGGATTGGTATTTTGCATGGAGTACTTTGCCAATAATTTTGACTGGCTAGAGAACTGTCTTGGCCATGTAGAGGACGACTACATCCTTTTTGACTGTCCAGGTAAGTCAGTAATTTGAATATGACATTTTCTTCGAAGTTGTACTAGTTCTGTCCTCAGTGAGAGAAAGTGGATTGAGCCTTGTAGCTCTTAACTAGATTGCAGTGAGGCCCAAAGCTCTTATCTATTGGCTTTGAGTTTACTGAGTGCTTAGTTTGTGTGCTGGGAATACCATAGAGACCCCAGCAGCTGTGGTCTTTGCCCTCATGGAGCTCATAGTCTCATGGAGTCGGCAGCACAGTGAGAGTGCTAGACAGAATAAACAAAATCTCCTAGGTGATTGATTAATACTGATTTGTGATAGGTGCTCCACAGGAGTAGCACCAACCATCATCACATAGCAAGAAGATTAGGAGGCTTCTGACCAGGTTTGTAAGCTGGGCTGGGGGGTGAAGGTGAAAGAATCCATACCATGGTCCAGGCAGAGGCACAACATGCCAGAAGCCTCAAGGCAGGAAGGAATGAGGTGGGTTTCGGACACCAAGAAGTCAGGGTAGCCGAAGTACTGAAAACCCAGGGGAAGTTCATGAGGTGAGGCTGATAGGGGACAGATCACACACAACTCCTTAAGCCAAATTGTGAGTTTTAGACTTGAGTCTGACCTATCTGTGATCATTTGTGGTTCTCACTTAATTTTCCTTGCTTTTATTTTTCTTTATTTTTATATTTTTGTTTTGAGAGAGCACATGCACGTACACAAGAGAGAGAATCGTTAGCAGGTTCCGTTCCTAGTGTAGATCCCAACATGGGGCTTAATTTTACAACCCTGAGATCATGACCTTAACCTAAATCAAGAGTCGGACGCTTAACTGGCTGAGCCACCCAGGCACCACCCCCACTTTTTTTTTTAAAGAGAAAGTATTTTCCCTTGCTTTTAATTGAACCCACAGAAAAGCACATACATCCTAAGCATACAGCTTGATGAATATTCCAAAAAAACACACATCTTTGTAGCACTCAATTTTGACTCCCCTTTTTTAACCATCTTGTGGGAAATTTTTTTATGTGTAGTTTGATGACTATATATTTCCTGTTTATATTAGTCTTGTCATGTTCTTTTGTAGGTCAGATTGAGTTGTATACGCACCTGCCTGTGATGAAACAGCTGGTCCAACAGCTGGAACAGTGGGAGTTCCGAGTCTGTGGAGTTTTTCTTGTTGATTCTCAGTTCATGGTGGAGTCGTTCAAGGTTTGAAGATCCGTCTTGTCTATTTTTTAGTTGTGGGTACAAGCAGATGACAGTCTCCTTTAAGCACTCTGTGATTTCAATACTCTGGACATTTCACAAACTACATTCCAGTATAATTTAGTATTATCCTTTGTTATTCAGTCATTTTAATGACCAATTTTTAACTCAAAAATGATAAGTTATGATATCGTATAGATTTGGGGGAGCTACTTAACAAAGAAAAATGAGGCAGATGCACATTTCATGTCTGTTTTTTTGTTTTTGTTTTGTTTTTAAGATTTTATTCATTCATGAGAGACACGAGAGAGAGGAACAGAGAGAAGCAGACTCCATGCAGGGAGACCGATGTGGGACTCGATCCCGGGACTCCAGGATCATGCTCTGGGTCAAAGGCAGATGCTCAACCGCTGAGCCACCCAGGTGTCCCTCATGTCTGTTTTTAATTCTTCGAGAGCCTCTTGTCTAATTTATGAACTATATTTTCCATTAATTGCTCTTAAGAATATTCAATCAGAAAAGAGGTTAAGATACCATCTGGGGTGCCTGGGTGGCCCAGTGGTTGAGCATCTGCCTCCGGCTCAGGTTGTGATCTCGGGCTCCTGGGATCAAGTCCCACATTGGGCTCCTCAAAGGGAAGCTTACTTCTTCCTCTGCCTATGTCTCTGCCTCTATCTGTGTCTCTCATGAATAAATATTAAAAAAAAAAAAAATACCATCTAGGGATCCCTGGGTGGCACAGCAGTTTAGCGCCTGCCTTTGGCCCAGGGCGCGATCCTGGAGACCCGGGATCGAGTCCCACGTCGGGCTCCTGGTGCATGGAGCCTGCTTCTCCCTCTGCCTGTGTCTCTGCCTCTCTCTCATCTCTCTCTGTGTGACTATCATAAATAAAAAAAATAAATACCATCTAAACTGAGTTTGTGATCACTAATTTTTTGAGTGAGGGGAAGGGCAGGGGGAAAGGGAGAAAAAGAATCTTAAGCAGGCTTCATGCCCAGCATGGAGCCCCGTGTGGGGCTTCATCTCAAAACCCTGAGATCACGACCTGAACTGAAATCAAGAGTTGGCCACTTAACCGACTGAGCCACCCAGGTGCCCTCGCCCCGCCCCACCCCCAACCTTTTTAAGGATTTTATTTGTAAGTAATCTCTACACCCAACATGGGGCTCGAACTTACAACCCAGAGATGAAGAGTCACATGTTCTTCCAACCAAGCCAGGCTGGTGCCCCATGATCACTATAAATTGAATCTACCTCTTCCCTCCTTATTCTCACCTTTGGAAACCAAGTGTCAACCATCCGATTAGTCTTTTCTTTAGGATGAGCATTTCTTTTACTTTGTTCAGCAAAGAGCAAACATCTCTCTTTTATGTGGAGACCAGCAAATTTTGTTGGCAACAGCTCATCTTCCCTTTTCTGTTCCTCCTTCAGTTTATTTCTGGCATCTTGGCAGCCCTGAGTGCTATGATCTCCCTAGAAATTCCACAAGTTAACATCATGACAAAAATGGATCTGCTTAGCAAGAAAGCTAAAAAGGAAATTGAAAAGTGAGTTCACTTCTTCCATTATCATCAGATCTTAATTGCAGAGACGTGAGGTTCTATTAGTCTACAAATCTAGTTTTTTTTATTTATTCTTCATTTTATTCATTAGTCTTTCTTGTTTTCAAAGATTTTTAGACCCAGACATGTATTCTTTATTAGACGATTCTGCAAGTGACTTAAGAAGCAAAAAATTCAAAAAATTGACTAAAGCTATATGTGGACTGGTAAGTTTTTGAAGTTTTTTAAAATGACCTGGTCAGCTGTTAACCATAGCCAATGAGTGGCCACCGTTATGGAAGGCACAGTCCTATCCTATTTCCTCACAAAGGGGAGGTGGGTGGGGGGCAGGCTGTGGGCAGGCCAGTCAGTAGTTTAATTTAAAAGTAGTTATTAGTGGTAGCCGTAATAAGTTAACTGACATGTCTATTGTTCCGTACCATTTGCGGAGTTCAGAACTGTCTGTGCCCTTTTGAAATTTATGACGGTTGCTGAATTCAGAGAAGTATCTATGAAACAGTGTCTAGTTAAGTAATAAGTTAATCAGTGTTCTGGGAGGTCAGAGGTCAGGCAAATCAATGATGATTTGTCCCTCCCCCACACACACATGTTTTTAATCAGAAGTATAAATGGTTGTAGACTAAAATACAAGTTGAAGATTAAGTATTTTGTACAGCTTCTGAATGACCCTTTATGAAATTCCCAACTTGTAGATTGATGACTATAGCATGGTTCGATTTTTGCCTTACGATCAGTCAGATGAAGAAAGCATGAATATTGTGTTACAGCATATTGATTTTGCCATTCAGTATGGAGAAGACTTAGAATTCAAAGAACCAAAGGTAAATTTTTTGATTATTGACTTTTGATAATAATGTTTGCCAGCACTTACTGGCCTGCATAATCCCAGCAACTCCTCAGATTTTATCTTAGCAGCAGTAGAAACCTGGGCTTTTCAAGAGGAGGTCTGAAATTGACATCTGTGCTCAACAAGTAGTACCAGTTTTACTCTACCCTTTATTGAGGCACTATCAACCAGCTTCTTTGTCCTCAGGGTATGTGCAAAACGGAGATGAAATCCAGTTGAAATTAGGATGCCCTCACATATGTCAGTGGGAAGCCTGATGGTAGTTGTCGTAGGCCACTACCTCAGCAAATTAGCTGAGAGTCAGCAAGCGTAAATTCAAGTAAAAATGCTTCCAGTGAGATAGAAGTATTTTTCATTTACCATGTAGCTGAGAAAAGTTCTATCAGTCATGCCTTTTGTCACTGTAAAAGACCGACAATGCAGCTGGGCATTATCTACTGGTAGAGTATTACTTGGAATATATGTAAGCACGTACTAGATCTGATTTACAGGAAATGAATATTTTCTGCTTTGTGTTTCTTTTGTGTCAGGAACATGAAGATGAATCTTCTTCTATGTTTGATGAATATTTTCAAGGACACCAAAATGAATGAAGAATTTTTCAGAGTAACTGTATACCTGAAACACTTTCAGTTGAACCAAGACATTCTTCTTTTCACAAGATGCAATACTAGAAAGCTACTTATTTAATGAAAAAGGCAATACTTGGCTCTTTACCAGCAGCATGCCTAAATCAAGTTGTAGTTATTCTGAAATGGCTGGTGTTTCAAGGGGAATCTTTTAGTAGTATTTTTACAGCATCAATTTAGATTTTAAATGTTGAAATTGAAATGAATGCACATAGATTTGCATATAATATAAATGAGCATCTGTGGTACAGTTAGGACTCAGTCTACCTTTATTTTTCCTGTTTGATTTTTGTTATTTTTGAGGGTTTTTTTGGAGAGGCAGGAATTATTATAACAATATACACATATGTGTCCAAAGGAAAAAAATCTAGGATATAGTTAAGACCATTGCTTATTTGTATGTCTGAATTTTCCTATATTTGAAAATGTATCATTTGTGTAATTAAATGAAAACTTTTAAAAAACATATATGTATATAAATAAAATAAATAGAAAACTAGTGCTAACTTTTCATTACGCTCCTGTTTTTTAGTCAGAATCTGAAATACTCATCCAGGGCAAATTTTTGAATGAATAAATTTGCCCAACTGTCAAAATATAGCCAGTGATTTCTTTAAAAATGCAATTGTGTCTGAGCATTTAAAAATTTATACTTTCCTGGAATAATAGATGCACAAAAAAGGCAAAAGACATTTTTTTCTTCTTAAAGAATTGCACCTTGATTGAATTGTTTATTTTCAGTAGCATTGGGTATGAAAGCAATGGGGAGTGGCTAGTCCATCTATGATGGGCTAGGCCATGTTAAGAAAAGCAGAATCTAATTTATTGAGTTCTGCCAGACCTTGTGCTAAGAAACATTTTACATAATCTCTTTCATTTAATCCTCTTACAGCCCAGTCTTCCTTGGCTTTTTAGGCCTGGATCTTCCAGCTGATACAAATTAAACCCTTACAGAAAACTGAAAACAGGTTAAATTTTTCATCATTCTTGGGCTAGGTAGCAGGAGTACACCTGCAGTGTCACGTTTGATCCATTTTAACGAAAGATGCCCCATATGTGAAGAACCACAGCTATCAGTGGTAACTTGTGTCTGCGAGGTTAGGCCAGGGGCAAAAGTCAAGTATTTGCATCCTAGTCCATCAAGGTGAGCTATTGTCACGGTGGAGAGGTACAGCCAGCAGGAGAGAACTTGAATGGGCATCATGGGAATGTGCTGTCCTGTGTCAGGACTCTGTCTGTGGCCCTAAGTATGAAAGGGTGAGAACACCCTGATCTGCATAATTTTTAGAAATTTTATTGTCATAGAAGAAAGGAAAGGCAAACTAACACTTGAAGTGCTTTCTAAGAATAGGTTAAAAGAAAAAAAAAACAAAACAGGGCAGCCCAGTGGCTCAACAGTTTAGTGTCTTGCCTTCAGCTCAGGGCATGATCCTGGAGTCCCAGGATCAAGTCCCACATCGGGCTCCCTGCATGGAGCCTGTTTCTCCCTCTGCTTGTGTCTCTGCCTCTCTGTCCTCTCATGAATAAAATCTTTTTAAAAAAATCATAAGGAAATCAGGATGACGCAGAGGAGTGGAGTAGGACTGAATTTAAAATAATGTGATCCAGAGAATGCTTTCCTAGAAAGATGAAATTTGAGGAAAAATCAAGGAAGTGGTGGATGCCGAGGATTCTGAAAGCCAAGATCTAGCCCCATTTCGCGCACACTACTATGCACGGCACTCACAATCCGTACTCAGTGCTCGGGCGCCCTCTGGCGCCCCTTGGTTCCTGCGCAGCCGCAGCAGCCTCCGGCGGGACCGCAAGACCGGAAGTGCCGCGTCCTCCCCTCCCCCTCCCCTTCCGGCTCACTTCCGCCTACCCCGCCCGGGCCGCCGGACAGGAAGCGCTGAGCTCTAACCCTAGCCTTGTGTGGCTAGAAACCCGGTCGCCGCCAAGATGCCGGTAAGGAGGCCAATTCGCAGTGTGGGAGATGGTGAGAACTGGGAGAGCAGCGACAAATCATGCGTGAGCTGAGAGAAGTGGGCGGAGGAGGACAGAGAAGAAGCGGGGCCTGAGAAGGGGAGAGCTAGGAAGAGGGGCCTGTGGCTGTAGGATGGGGCTGCCCGGGGGTGTCGGCGAGGGGGACGGGGCCGGAGCACCTGGGGCCAAAGACCCTGAGCGTGGAGAGGAGGCTGGCTCGGCCCCTCTCGCCCTCTTCGCTGCAGTGCTGCCCCTTCTCTCCTTCTTTCTGTATCCCCCGACTCCAGCAGAATCCCCAGCGATTCACTGGAGCCGAGAAGACAAGGGCTGTGCTTTTAATTTTGCATTTTTCAAGTCTAGGATCCGGCTGCTTTTTCTTCCCCCCACAGGCCCACTTCCTCCTTGGCCCCAGGGGGCGGGTTCCTCCCGCTGCTTGTCACTGCCATACCCCACTTCCCGGACTCCTCCTCTGTCTCCCCAGCAGTGGCGGCCACCCCTAGCTGCCGGGTGTAGGGCCGCCAGAGCAGACGCAGGGTCCGCTCCTGGTTTCCAAATGCTTCTGTTTTCGTGTGCATCAGAGTAGGAGCAAAATTGATAGTAGTGTCTGGTTGTCCTTCATTTCTGACAGCCAGTCTGGCGGAGTGAATTCATCACCATCATGGTCTCCATTTTGCAGATGAGGTAAAGGAGGTTCAATAACGTGATAACTCACTCAAAAAACATTACTGAGTACCTGCTGCATGCCAAGCACTGTTACAGCAGTGAATAAAGCCAACAAATCCCTAGGCTCAAAGAGTGTACATTCTAATGGGGAGACAGCACAAACGTGCATATGTAAATTTTAAAAAGATACTTTTACAGATTTTTTTTGAGAGAGTGCCAGCAGGGAGAGGGGGTTAAGTGGCAGCAGAGGGAGAGGGACTAGTAGTCTGCAACTTAGTGTGGAGCTGGAAGCTCTATCCCACCAACTTAGGATCATGACCTGAGCCTGTCGCTTAGCCGACTGAGCCACTTGACTGTCCCTAAGATAGTTTGAGGTAGTGACAAATGCAATGAAGGAAATAGATGGGTAACAAACAAGACAGCTAGTGAAGGAGAGGGTGGAGGCTGCTTTAGGTAAAGCATACTGATGACAAAGAGGAGCAAGCTATAGTTAGAGATACTTAATGAGTCTTGTTGGTACCATTCAATTCCTGATGTGTGCCAGACTGGCCCTGAACTACACACTGCATGTAAGTTACTCCATGTTATCCTCACAATAACCCTGTGAAGTCCATGCTTATTGTTCCCATATCGCAGAGGAGGAAATTGAGGCTCAGAGAAGTATGATAACTTACCCAAGGTTGCAATATTTTAAGCTATGACTTTAATTTTATTTTATTTAATAGTTATTTATTTTATTTATTTGAGAAGAGAGAGATGAGTAAGCCCTGAGCAGGGGTGAGGAGCAGAGGGAGAGAGAGAAGCAGGCTCCCAACTAAGCAGAGACCCCAACATGGGCCTTGGTCCCAGGACCCTGAGATTGTGATCTGAGCTGAAGGCAGATGCTTAACCAACTGAGCCACCCAGGTGCTCCTTAAGGCTAGGACTTTAAAGTCCTGTGCTCATTCCTGGACTTCCCTGCGATAACTTATTTAATATCTGCCTCTTCCATTAGCCTGAAAGTTCTTCAGGGGCAGAGATACTGGTCTTGCATACCATTTTTTCATGATGCTTTGCACATTGAAGGTGCTTGATAATCGTTTGGTAAAGGAATGAATATATGAATGGGGCTTTTCTGTTACTAAAAGCCAGACATCGGGGATCCCTGGGTGGCTCAGCAGTTTGGCACCTGCCTTCTGCCTGGGACGTGATCCTGGAGTCTGGGATCGAGTCCTGCACTGGGCTCCCTGCATGGAGCCTGCTTCTCCCTCTGCCTGTGTCTCTGCCTCTCTCTCTCTCTCTCTCTCTCTCTCTCTCTCATGAATAAATAAACTCTTTAAAAAATAAAAAAAATGGGATTTTCCCTGCTCCTTTAACTCACTGAGGGCAGTAGATAACTCTTCTTTTTATGAATTTGGAAACAGGTGAAGAGAAGTGATGTCTTGGTCAAACACATAGCCAGGAAGCGGCAGAACTGAAAAGCCAGTGTTTGGGTTCTGGTTTAACAAGAGCTGGTGCGGTGGTGTACCCCTGATTTATATAGTGTCTGCCTATTTCCATAGCATAAATAACTCGCACCAGTTACCAATGTGATGTCACCGAATATGGATTGGAAGATGCACAGTAGCACACCATTATATAGCATTTCTGCCACAAAGATACAAAAGTTATATATAACCTTAAGATCATAGACAGTAGTAAAATAATTTTTAAAAATACTAAATAATGAATTTTCAGTATTTATCACCTTTGTTTTCAATATAATGCACTTAAATGCAAATTTACATAATTTTTGGTAGTGATGGCTTTTTTTTTTTAAAGATTTTATTTATTTATTCATGAAAGACACAGAGAGAGAGAGAGAGGCAGAGACACAGGCAGAGGGAGAAGCAGGCTCCATGCAGGGAGCCTGATGTGGGACTCAATCCCTGGACCAGGGATCCACTCTGAGCTGAAGGCAGACACTCAACTGCTGAGCCATCCAGGCATCCCATTAACGGCTGTTCTTAATAACCAGCTTGCCTCAATATTTTTCAAAATTCCTCAAAACATAGATGCTTCTGGCTGGCTCAGTGGGAAGAGCATGCAACTCTTTTTTTTTTTTTTTAATAAAGATTTATTTATTTATTCATGAGAGACACACAGAGAGAGGCAGAGACCCAGGCAGAGGGAGAAGCAGGCTCCCCACAGGGAGCCAGATGCAGGACTTGATCCCGGAACTCCAGGATCCCTACCCAAGCCAAAGGCAGATGCCCAACCTCTGAGCCACCCAAGCATCCCAAGAGCATGCAACTTTTGATCTCCGGGTTGTGAGTTCGAGCCCCATGTGGGGTGCAGATTATTTAAATAATTTTTTTAATTGCTCAAAATTGGGGATCCCTGGGTGGCCCAGTGGTTTAGCACCTGCCTTCAGCCCAGGGCGTGATCCTGGAGTCCCAGGATCGAGTCCCACATCAGGCTCCCTGCATGGAGCCTGCTTCTCCCTCTGCCTGTGTCTCTGCCTCTCTCTCTTTCTCTCTCTGTCTCTCATGAATAAATAATTAAAATATTTAAAAAATAATTGCTCAAAATTTAACATTCAGTTTTCTTAAGCCAGTAAGAACCAACTCTAGCGTATTGCTGCTACCAACCTTTGATCATCCTCCCCTGGTTAGTCTTGGGTGGGTTCTTCTTTTTCCCTTTAGAGAAATATTTCTTATGTGCCCTGCTGATGTTTGCTCTCTTCTTCCATATTCTTACCTGGCTTGCCACTACAGGCTTACCACTCTTCTCTCATGGACCCTGACACCAAACTCATTGGAAACATGGCATTGTTGCCTATCAGAAGTCAATTCAAAGGACCTGCCCCTAGAGAGAGTAAGTCAAAACTTCTTTCTATTGTTCTCAGATTTTAGTAGAAAAC